ATTAATTAGGTAAGTCTGCATAAAAATGAAAATGAACAGTGTCTTGCCCCTTTTTAAGTTTGAAGAACTGGTTTGCTTCATTCCTCTGTGTCTCCATCATGTAACAGAACTCTTCCCGGGAGTCTTGAATGTCAACACAGACACTATGCAATCCAGACCTCTCTATCAATATGCTGCAGAGAATTTCTTTCTTTTCTGGCATCTGTTGATATTGTAGCCTTTTTTTATATAAATACCAGGCAGCTTTTTCTTGTTGCTATGGTCCTCATGGAAATGTAGTACAGCCAAAGGGAACATTTCCTTGTTTCCTTTGTTGAACAGCGCAGAGTGCTTGAAACGGCTATATTAGACAACTGCTAGCTACGGCAGAACTGGTGTGATAATGCTATGGGGTTTATTTGTTTTTTGAGATAACATCTAATCTTAGTTGGATTGAAATAGGATTGGCAAACTGTGCACATATAAATATTATAATTTAATATTAATCTAATAATCTTAGAACTTCAGAGCTGGAAGGAACCCTCTGGATCACGAACTCCAGCCCCGGTCAAGGGGGCCCAATTGGGGAACTGAACTCCCAACCTTTGGCTCCACAGGCAGATATTTTTATCTTAGGACCAGAGGACTAATGATACAGTTGGAAATTTTATTGAAGGAACTATCAACTGTTAATTTGATTTTCTTTTTTTTAGTTAGTCATTGTGAATACATTGTTGTAAAGGCTAGCCTGTTTTCTGTATTGCAAAACAGAAAAAAGCCCTTAAAACATGATATAATTACTAAGTGCGAAACTACATGTTCTATATGGTTCAGCATAACCTTTTTCAAAGCAGGGATTAAGTCCGCCTCCTTCCAGTTGTTTCCCTAGCGGAATTGCCCCTCTGATTTGCTTCCTAGTGGCCAAGGGGAAAAGACCTATGTCCGGAACAGAGGCTGAGTTTCAAACACAAACAGCCAGGAGAGAATGCAAACTCTCCTCAGGGAAAAGTTACATAAAATCCCATGGTTTTTAGCTGTTGTGACTGGGCTAAGTTGCCGAAATCTTGGTAGTTTCAGTCTAAAGACATACAGAATATAACCTGTGTGTACTCTCTTAGAAATCAACTCCCACTTATTTCATGGACTTCCTCCCAAGCACAATTATATAGGATTTCAAGTTACAACCCTTTAAACCTTACTGTATCATATAGAAAATAAGAAAAATCAAACATGGTTCCTTATCAGGCCCTATTTTATTTTCTCCTCACCTCCCACATTTCATTTCTCTCTCTCTCTCTCTCTCTGAAGATTGATTCATTCCTGTTTATTTAATTCAGTGAGCTAGTGCTTTCTGAGACGGCTGCCATTATCACTCTTAACTCTTAGTTAATCTAATAATTGTTAACCTATGCAGTGACATGTCTGTCTACATTTCTCACTTTGCTAAACCTTAACAATGGCATCATCGCCATGCGCTGCATGATTCTGCTTGGCTTTCTTTGATCTGCACAGATTTTATTTCTTCCATTATAGGTTCTATGAGCACCCTCTTCTGTAAGGCTAATGAGACTATTAGTAGCATGACCATGGAGCTGTTGCTCACTCAGCTGTTGCTCACGCACTCACCATCCCAATGAATTCAAGGACAGCAATTGATTAATGTATCCATGAGCATTCCCAAACATCTGTCCCAATTTCCTGTTTTGCAGGCAGAGGAGAGGAAAAATCAGTTTAATCTTCTCAATTGTTTTCACTGTTGAAACTTCCTTTGTTTCGTTTCCTGCTCCTTCCATTTGTTCATTGCTAATAGGATAAGTTTAACCTAGGTTTTAATATTAAAACTCAGTGGCCAGAATCTTGCTAATTAAGCCCTCCAGCACATCTCCATTGGAGTAACATTTCCGTGGTCAATTCCTGAAAGCAAGGGAGTCAGCGTAGGCATTTCCTATTTCATACCAATAGCGTGCAACAGAAAATGCCTTCTGAACTTGTGGCAATCCGTTGCTAAAAGTTACAAGGATGGAGTTGCTCCAGTATAAATATATGATAGGAGTCTGGCTGCTGTGTTTCACCATATTTGCTTTCCAACTATTTGATAAGTTGTATTTGATCCCTGGACTAGAAGAAAGGTGGACAGAAATAAAATAGATAAATAATAAATACTAAAATAATCAGGTGAGAATTTTTGTCTGAAAAGACTATGAGCTCCATTGAGTTCTCCACAAGCTCCAAATGCAATCTTATTTATATATAGATTCATATTTAGGAAAATGTATTACAATAATCTAAACAGGGTTACAATACATCTCACCTGTCCTGAGTGACTGGTAGTTATTCAATCTGTTATCCAGGTGCTAATGGACAAACAGGGAGTTTCAAGTCCCCTTTAGGGTTCTCCCTTTTTTATGGGTCTTTATCTGGACCAGCTTTTAGAAGTAAGGAAGGAAAGACAAAGCTTTGAAGCAGAAGATTTTCCTCTGACAGCCCTTCAAATAGAGAACCACTCTCTATAAGGCAGGCCATATGGCCGTCCTATCCACACATATTGATTAACCTGAGTGAATATGCAAATATGTGCCTTCTTACACTTTTTCTGATCAATTGCTAAAGATTTGATTTCATAGTCTTTCCCTGCCTGTGTACAGGAGTAGTAATAGGGACCCAAGGAGACTTACAAAATGGTTAAAAACAGAAATGACTGAATTTAAAATCAGTAATCGTAATGACACTCAAACATAAAAACATCTTAAAGCAAAATTAAAGCATGCCAAAACAATTCAAAAGCACATCGTAAGAAAATTAAAAGTAAGACTGATGAGTTCCCAAAAGCCTGCCGAGAAGAGAAAGGTACTGACAGGAGGCCAGCAGGAAGAGAGCCAACCTTAGCCTCAGTTGGGACGGAGTAACAAAGGCTGGGAGCAGTCACCAAAAAGGCCATCTCTTGTGTCTTCACCCGATGTGCCTGTGAAGGCAACAAGATAGAGAAGGGCCTCCGATGTCCTGTATGTTCTTTGTAGGGACAGCTGCTGGAGTGTGGAACACTTAGGAGCACCCACTGGAAATAAAGAAGCTCCTGATTCAAACCTATCTTACTCAACCATGGTCTTATTAGGTGGTCTCTATTCTCCTAGTCCCTAACTCAAATGTAAAATGCAGGAAATAATAGTGACTTACCGTATTTTTCTGTGTATAAAATGATACTTTTGTCTAAAACCTTTAGATAAAAAATTGAGGGTCATCTTATACAAAGAAATAAGCTGAGGAGAGAACAAAAACAAGTGGAGGGGGAAAGGGATCAAAGCGATCTTGCTGTGATTTGATCGCTGCTTTCCCCTCACTTGCTAAGCCCCTCGGTGCTTAGCAAAAGGAGGGGGAAAGGGATCAAAGCAATCCCGTGGCTGCACAAGGGGGAAGGGGATCAAAGTGATCGTGTAGCCGTGGGATTCCTTTGATCCCTTTTCCCTCCACTTGCTAAGCGCATCTTAGATTTTTAAATTTGGGGTTAGAAAAGTGAGGGGCATCTTATACATCAGGGTGTCTTATACATGGAAAATACAGTGATTGACAGGCCTATTGGAGATTACGGAGTTAAATGCAAGTAAAGATGTTGCAGTGTGATTGTAACAGGAGGCCTTCTGGAGCACACCAACTTGTTCAGTTTAGCTGGTCTCCCAGGGTCCAATCAGATGTCTATGGGAAGATGGCAAGCAGGACTGCTCTTCAGCAGCTGCATTCCCATAGGACCATAACTAGAACACGGCAAGTGGGGCTTTGCCCTAGGGCACCAGAATTTAGGGGGTGCCAAAATCTAGAGGTGAATCTAATGGTGTTATGAAAATAAATGACAGCACCTCCTGGGCCTATTCACTATCCTTAAAAAAAACCCATAAAATGTCCTTCCTTCCTTCCTTCCTTCCTTCCTTCCTTCCTTCCTTCCTTCCTTCCTTCCTCCCTCCCTCCCTCCCTGCCTCCCTTCCTTCCTTCCTTCCTTCCTAGTTTGAAACTATATTCTAACCTTCCTTCCTTCCTTCCTTCCTTCCTTCCTTCCTTCCTTCCTTGAGTACCACATTCTCCTCCTCCCTTTTCTTGGTGGGGAATTTATGTCCATGCCCATGCCTCTCATCACATGTCCTAGCTGCTAAAATTGCTCTGCACCTGATATCCAGAAATATCCTATATGTTATTCCAGAGGTTCAATTATTGTTTTACAAACGCTGGCAGAAGATAACCTAAAATCACAAAAAGCTCCTTAACTCATGAAACTGTAGTGTCCTTCTCTCTTTACTGCAGGAGTTTTACAGACGATACAGCTAGTAAACTTTTCAGGATCAGCTGCTTAAGCTGTAATGGTTGGAGTGGATGTGTCATCTGACTGAATGTTTCTGATAGAAGAATGCTTGTTTACTCTAATGTCTAGTCAAACACTGTGAAGTTGTTCAGGCCACAGATCAAATGTGTCGCCTCCAGCAATGATCAAGTCTATCTCCCCCTGCCCCCAGGAAAGAAGATGACAGATCTAGGAAGCAGAGCTGTAAGCTTCCCAATTTTGCATTTGGCCATGTGGCTGAAAGCCCAGCACTGGCTTTCAGACAGAGGATTGGCACTCTCCGTTAGGACTGGCGGAACAATTAGCTCTCACTCAATTTGCTTTTTATTTGCACACTCGATCAATCCTCTCCTCAGGCAACTGCTAAAATCCAGCACTCCCTCCCTCCCACACCTCCTTTTGGAATCGCAACGCGTTGCCCATCCCCAAAGCGCCCCTAAGCTGTCTGTGCTGCGGCCGCTGCATTTTCAAGCTGATTAATTTGACAGATGCCTACTGAGTGGAGTTGCTAGGAGAAGGTGAATAGTTGCAATTAGAGCAGGCTCCTTCAATGGCAACCTGTAGCGCTCCCTAATTTCCTTTCATGTAGGGGATGCGCACATGCCGGCCCTGCTTGGCAGCACTCTGGTTATTCATTCTGTCAGACGTTTCTTTTTGTTCGTTGAGGAACCATTCAGGATGCACCTGGGATAAAAGAGAGGCACTAAAGCAGCGGCGCTTTGACAGGTGTTCTCTTCCATCGGGCAGGAATAGAGTTGATATTGGGTTCTCCCACCTGCTTTCTGACTGCATCCTCCTTCTTGAACAGTAGAGAGCAGGCATCTTCTCTCTCTCTCTCCTTCTCTCCTCTCTCTCTCCTGGACCACTCGAGATGCTTGCATTGAGCGTTAGTATGGCCAGAGATTCCTGTGCCTTTTGAGAGAACAGCTGTGCTTTCGCGCACTGAAACTCCAGCATCTGAATTACAGCCGAGACGAGTGGCACAAAGTGCACGAGGAGAGGGTGAGGGGCTGGAGCATCATCATCAATCAGTCAGTCATTGGGACGTTCCCTGCCTCACTCATATGGATTAATCTTTCTCTTTTTGAGGTCAGAAAAACTGTGCGCTTAGGGAACTGAGGTGCAGTATATGTGTGTGTGTGTGTGTCCATCCATCCGTGTGGGGAATGTGCAGTGAGAGTGCAGATTTGGCTACTCAAGTGAATAAGTAATTGAGGCAGAAGCTTCTCTTGGCTTTGTAATCCTGATAGGCTTTAAGACAGAGACAGACAGAGAGAGAGAGGGAGGGAGCAGCTGCTGTTGCCTTACATGTGCGGATTTTCTGTCATTTGTGAGCTGGATTGAAGAAGATGTTTTTTCCTCCTGGCTGCTGAGCCTGACTTTGATTCTGTTGCTACAGGACACTTGCAACCATGGGCTCCACAGGTACCGAGACTAATCCAGGGATGGACAACACTCCGTTGAAGTATCCCGTCAGAGGACACACAGAGAAGATGTGGCAACGGCTGAAAGGAATGTGAGTATACTGCCTCCTTCTTCACTTCCGCTCCGTTTCCCCACAAAGTAGATGTCATTGCTGAACACGATAGTTGAGCAAATGGACTGGTGAGCTGTTCAATGGCAATCTAGAGGTGGTCTGATATGGGGGGGGATAGGGGGGAATGCTGTTTGGGGAGCTTCTTTTGGAATGGCAAACAATGCAAAAGGCATCTCCAGGGCAGCCTAGAGCCACTGCCCAGCATCTGCACCTCTGCACCTCATGGGTTGTGACAGATCTGTTTCCACTAGAAGCGATCTCACTTAATGTTGGATGACTGGCAGTACAACACACCAGTGTCTTGGAGCAGGTTGGTGATACATCTTGGAAAGTGCAATTAAGTAGGAGTACATTGTTTGGATGGCTCCCAGGCATGTTTCGTGTTTGTTTTGCTTATTCACAGGGATGATCTCCTAGAGTATCATTCTATTCTATTCTATTCTATTCTATTCTATTCTATTCTATTCTATTCTATTCTTGGCACTCAATAATCTGGATGGATTATTCCAGACGAGAATCTCCCAAACTGGCTCACTGGTGGTGGCTGAAGGTAAGAGGGAAAAGTATATTGGGGGAGGGAGAAATAGGAGCAAGCCTGGGACACATCCCTTCCTCAACTGTTGCATACCAGCATGCCGTGACAAAAAGTGGCACAGCTGCTGTATCCAGAAGGGTCCAATCTGCAGATGTTATGGAAGAGACCAAACTGGGTTTTGGGAAGGGCTGTGGCAGTTTGGGGTGATCAGGCTTGAGTGGAAGGGAGTATGCGTAGCAAGAAGTTGAAGCTCAGAAAGGGAGTCTCGGGAACAAATCCTGGGATTGTACTGTTTCACTGGATGGAGACCTCTTGTAGAAGGCAAGGACTCACTCTGTGCTAGCTGCCACTGGGGGCCAAAGAGGCATTTCATACATGCAGTATCACATCAGTGGGTGACTTGTAACATGAGAATGGGACATCAGTCATGATTATAGCCCACAGAGAACATGGTCGCGCATAATCTCAGACACTGTGTTGTCCAATGGACCTGTTTTATACCAGCACCCACCAAGTAGAGAAAGCCACAACGGGGAACTGAGGCACTGCCTGTGACACAAAGGAAGTCCTAAAGCTGCAAGCTGTAATATCTTATTGACATTGTTAAGACTAACAAAGCTTTATGTCAAATGATACTGCCTTGTCTCGCCTTGCTTTGCCTATACAACTTTGAATTCATGGTGGAACTGGGGAGGCAGATTTTGCATGCTGAATATCAAAGGCTGATACCGAGTCTGTCCATGGCAGGAAGAGGAAAATGTGTGTTTAAAAGCCAGTGATGAAATGTAATTTCATTTTTCCCCCCGGAAAGAATACTTTATGCTCTTTCCTTGTCTCCCTCTCCCCATAGTTTGCACTCTGTTTTCACTAAGAGTTGGGTGGGTATGCTGTACTTTTTCTTTTGTGCAGTCAGTGGAAACAGAACAATTCATCTGCGTAATGTCACCCCGCCCTGGACTCCACTCTGTGCAAAATCAAGCAAATCATGATAGGTGGATGAAGGGCAAGCTTGTAAAGGTGATGTGTATTTGAAACACAGAGGTGGAATGGCTTGGCTCTTGAGAAATGGTAAAGACTGCTGAAATATGGACTGTGCCACCAACTCTCAGACCCACGTAGAGCCTGGGGCCACCTGTACAAACGGCTGTGAATGTTTCTGGTTGGTTGGTTTGAGTGTTTGGGGAGGAAGTGGGATGTGATGAGGATACTGGGGGAAGGTAGCAAGGAGCTAGAAAGGAGGAAGAGTGTTTCAAAGGCAGAAACATGGCATTTTTGTACTCTCCAGGATCTAGTTCTCCTTAATTATTTATTTAAAATATTTCTACCCCGCCTTTCTCCCCAAAAGGACCCAAGGGTTGCTCTAAACGTGCAAGGGAGTAAAGGTTCCTAAAGTGCTGGAAAGTACTTCACTGATTCAAGCTGCAAGCGGAGGACTGGATTTCTCATTGCTCTGTTATGTTCTAAAACAGCAGCTTCCTGAACGTAGGGACTAGCACAGAATGGAAGGGGCCAGCCTTGAATCTTTGCTTCTGATATATTAGTAGTCTTCTTCATCAAGGGAACTGTTTTGTTTTTTTCAAAGGTAGACCCTAACCTGCTACACAAAAGCTTAGTTGCTTCAGCTTGCCACAGAAGTATACGAGGTCCTAGTTCTTCATTTCCAACACTTCTGTGGCCTGAGGAACCATTTCTTTATCTTGCTGTTGTGCTTTAGGGTTGCTGGGACCCTAGCTTTAGCCTGTGGAGGTTTTGAGGTTCATTCCAAGCACAGCAAGTTGCTCCTTGGCCACCGGCTATTCTGATGGCTGCTTTTAAATGGGCATGTGTGCTAGCAATTGCATGCACAATACCAATGGCTATAATCTCTAGTCGGTGCCTGAGAGTTGTGAATTGCCCTGGCCTCATCACTGCAGACCTGCTGGAAAGGTAAATCACACCGAGCTGAGCAAAGGGCTTAAAACACATCCCAGTGATCATTTATTTCCCAGTTTCGCAACACAATGGAATAGAGCCCTTTATCTTTTGCTTTTTCCACTTTGCTGCTGGCTGTTTTAAATCTCTGGTTCTTCCCCTTTGTATTTGGGATGGGCTTCATTATTTTTTAAGTCTTCCAAGGCCCAGATGCTTAATAGTAATCAATGTTTTTAATTTTAAGAATCAGTACTCCGGATGAAACCGGGGGGTACTCCGGATGAAACCGGGGGTGTTGTTGTTGTTGTTGTCGTTGTTGTTGTTGTGTACTGACGGGATGGCCTCACAGTGGATTTCCCTTCTCCTCTGCAGTCCTCTGTGCCACAGGTAGATCTCTTCTGGGGAGCTGGGGATTGTCCTGGAAGAGATTTTGAGGGGAACAATGAGAGCTGCAAACATAAAGAATGGAGGGGGAAGAGCTGTTCCATCAGCCAAAGTACAGTACTTTCATTCAAATTTGGATGGAGCCCCTTGAACACCTCCCCTCTGTGACATTCCAAAGCCCCGTCTATTTGGTATCAGGCATGAGGTTGCTGGAGGCCCAAGAACCATGTGTATCTTCTGACCATAGATTGATAAGCAACACGATGCGCTTTTGTTGGCTTTCCACAACTCTGATGGAGGTTACAGTATTTTACAGTTCTTCTGTTGTAGTCAGGATTGCCTCTTTCTTGTTAGCCAGCATTTGGTTTCCGTTCATACATGTTGGCAACATCATTGCAGTATACTGTACTAACAAGAACATATAGAATCATCAGAGGGAACATTAATTAACAAGAATGCACAAAATCATCAGAGGGAACATTAGTTAATTGATTGATTAATTAATCATTGAATGTATGCTAGCTTTCCCCCAGAATTGGGACTCAAGGCAACTTAAAAAGCTATTGAAAATCAACAGAAAATTAAAATACAATAGAATTGCAAAAGTGAAACTATAATTACATTTTTTATAATATTAAAATTAAGTCCAAGACACATTAAACACTTATTACAAATAGTAATCGTGGGTTATCTTTAAAAATAGAGCCAGTGCTGCTTCCATTAAAATGCTGATGCTGAAGTGAGTCCATGGACTCTTTCAGGGGATGTAAGTAATTTCCAATGACATTTATCATGCATTTTTTAAGAGAGAGAAGAGATAAAGGCCTAATTCTCAGGACACAGCAAGCTAGGAAAGCACAGCAACCCTAGGTTGTCGTGTACAAGTTGCTCACAGTGGGAATGGCTAAAAAAGCCATGAAGCTTTACTCTGAGGTTTGCTAAAGGTGCCACTGAAATGCAGGTGGAATTTCCTCTTTGCTCATATTCAGGTGAAACACCTTCGGGCTCATCGAGTCCAGACTAGAGATGGGGGTATTCGTATACAAATAACCCCCACAGGTGGAAATAACGAGGGTCTGGTCTCATGGGGCCGGACTGTCCACTCACCATTTTGCTGCTTACGCGAGTTTGGCGGAGCCTTCCTATCGCGCCGTTGTCCGCAGTGGATTAGCCACTCCTGGCAGGAGGTGGGATGACAAGCCTCTCTGCCAGGTCACAGAGTGGCTAATCCATTGTGGACAACGGAGCGATAGGAAGGCTCCGCTGAGCTTGTGTCAGCGGCAAAATGGTGAGTGGACCCTCGTTATTTCCACCTGTGGGGGGATATTCTTATTCGTATATGAATACGAATACCCCGATCTCTAGTCCAGGACCCTGTGAGAGAGCACAGTGGGAATTGAACTCCCAAACTCTGGCTCTCCAACCAGAGACCGAAACCACTGAGCTATCCAGCAGTCATGGCCATGCATATTGTGTTACTTGGGCTCTAACCTTTGACCTAACTTAGATGTTTTGCCTACTTGGTTTATGTAGCTTTTCTTCTTCTCATGTTGGTATTTAAAAGCAAATTGTGCAGATGTTAAAATCACATGACCAGACTACTTCAAAGGTCAGAAAAATGGCAACATGTGAAATACCAATGAGGATCAGGTTGTTGTTGTTGTTTAGTCATTAAGTCGTGGACCCATGGACCAGAGCACGCCAGGCCCTCCTGTCTTCCACTGCCACCTGGAGTTGAGTTAAATTATGTTCGTAGCTTTGATGACACTGCCGTCCTCTTCTCCTCTTGCCCTCACAGTTTCCCAACATCAGGGTCTTTTCCAGGGAGTCTTCTCTCCCTGGAGGATCAGGTAAAAAAAGGAGAGAGAGAAAAAAGAGAGAGATGTGTATATTGGGTATCCCATGATTCTGGTTCATGGAGGTGGCTGAAGTATAAAGAAATAAGCAATAGGAAATCCCTTATCTCTTGAAGATAGCTTAGTTTCCTTTAAGGAAATGAACAGGATTTCCAAAACATGCATTCAGAAACTTTTAAAAACATATTTCTAGTGTTTTGCCTCCTTCCCCAAAAATGCAACCTTAATTCATTTTTAATGGTCATTTTTAATAGTGGGCCTTGTGGCGCAGTGGTTAAAACACTGTACTGCAA